AATCAATTGGTAAATTATTAATTGGGAGTCCCCTCTAATAATTACACTATTTATTCCCATTTCTATTAGCAGCTCTAAATCTACGATCAATGCTTCGTATTCGGCTTGATTATTAGTATACATTATATTCAAAGTGAAAGCAAATTTATAAAAAATCCCTAAAGGATTTATTAACACTATCCCTACTCCTGCACCTTTAGAAATTTTTGATCCATCAAAGTATAAAATCCAAGGTTTTAATTCGAATGAATCAACTTCTAATTCAATTTCTTTAGGCATGTCAAGGCATGGATGATCGGCCAGAAAGTTAGCAAATGCTTGATTTTTAATTGCCCTTTGGGGTATATATTGTATCTCAAACTCTGATAATGTTAAAGTCCAAAAGCCTATCATTTGGTGTAAAATAGGGCGAGAAAACATATATTTAACAAAATTTACTTTAGAAACTAAGTAAACGGTCACAGGCCGTAAATAAGCCCTTAGTTTTGTACATATGAAATACAAAATAAGACACAATTTTTCAATAGCAGAGTAATTACATTCACATTTTGTTAACCGTCTACTCAAATAATAAATCGCAATTTCTTCACCAAATTGGTCTTCTTACGTGACCATTCTGGCTATCGATTTTTGTTCAACCGATACGTACACCTTCATTGGGTAGGTGATACTAAAACTGGCGGACTTGACAAATATGTTTTCAGGCTATCAAAAGCCTTTTGATGTTTTTCCTTCCAGACAAATCCGTCCTAATTTTTCAGTTTTAAAAGAAGCGAAACACCTTTCGTTCGCCTGCACAATTAGAGATGAAGCGTCTCAAAAAGTTTATTTGGCTTAGAAACCTTTGCAATTCTTTCTTATTACCAAGCGGTTTGGCCTCTAAAGTGGCCTACGCTTTATTTTTATTAAGTTCAATTCATCTTGCGTGCATAGAAAATGAAGGAAATTCCTTGCATTAACGCCAAATGCACATTTCAAAGGGTTCAATTTCAGTTTGTACTGCATCATTCGTTCGAATGAACGTTTTAATTGTTCAAAATGGTATTCCTCTCTAATAGATTTAACCACTACGTCATCTACATACACTTCAACAAATTTTCCTATCATGTCATGAAAAATTAGGTTCAGGCCGAAAGACATAACTACCCATTCAAAGTATCCTAAAACCTTAGGGCACCTAAAGGTAGTTTTATGTACATCTTCTTCAACTATGTAAATTTGGTTATAACCTGAATAACCATCCATAAAAGAATACATTACATGTCCGGCAGTTGAATCTACTAAAGAATCAACTATAGGCATTGTATATTCATTTTTGGGTGTTGCTAAATTTAAATTTCTAAAATCTATGCACACTCTTATACTACAATTTTTTTTTGTAATACTAGCACGATATTAGATAACCACTCAACATATATGACTGTTCTAATAAAACTTGCTTTTAACAATCGTTCTATTTCTTTCTTTACTTCAGGCAATAGATTAGGGGCAAAACGCGTAGGAGGTTGTTTATGAGGTTTAAAATTTGGCTTATTTGGTAACCTATGTTCTACCAAATTTTTATCCAAACCAGGCATGTGTTCATGTTCCCAAGTAAAACAATCGTTGTATTCCTTTAATAAAGCAATTAATTTGTCACTTACCTCTTGACTAAGCATCTAACTAATAAATGCTGGGCGATCTTCCCCTTAGTCGCCAATATTCACCTTTATCAATGGGTCTTGTACTTGAGCATGTCATGATTTTGTGATCCTCATTACTTCATCATCTAAGTTCCTCGTAGGTACTTCCTCTTCTAAACAATCCACTTTGTTGACTTCTCGACCAATATTCTGCTCCAACTCGAACACTACTACTTTATTAATTAACATCTTTAATGTCGCTTCTTCTTTTATCTTCTCTTTACATTCCTTATTGAAAGCCATTAATTTGGCTTTGAAGGCCTGGATATCAGCCATATTTTCTTATTGTTGACAACTCATTAGAGTTCCTTGATTATCTTTTTGCCAATTACTGGCTCTTCAAGGGCACTATGTTTGGCCTCATTTGATTGAACATTTCAGAAAGTGTGTCGACTGAAAATGGTTCTTCACTATGTGCAACAATTTAAGTCTCTTCCCCATCTTGAATTACCCCGATAGGTCAATAATTTCCTTCATACATGAACCTCTCTACTGAGTTTGCTTCTGCGATAAAGGGTTTATGATCTGCTTGCATCACTTCTGCTTGCCCTTTGTCGTTCCAGAAGACCAAGCATTGGTGGAGCGATGAAGGTATGCAACGACTCCCGTGAATCCGATTCCTTCCTAGTAGCATATTGTAACTAGTAGGACCATGTATCACAAAAAAGACTGTAGTCCTAGTAGTTGTTCCCACAGTTATGTCCAGTGGCATTACCTCTTTAGCTGAAGTTGCTTCTCCATTGAAACTTGTCAGAATGACTTCTGTTAGGATCATATCACTTTCTGTCTCTGCAAATTTTCTCATCATTCTAGACGGGATAGTATTTATAGTTGCTCCATTGTCGATGATCAATTTTGCCACAGGTATGCCATTGACTAAGGCCTTTACATACAATGGCCTCATGTGCTTGGTTAACTTCATCGTTGGTATTTTAAAGATGACTTTTCCAGCTGCATCTATTTTCACTTCCTGTTTGTCTTCCGTTGAATTATCTCTTTGTGATAAGTCAACATGCAATATTTTGCACTGAATTTCAGCTTCTTGGATTTCCTCCGTACTTTCCTTTAATGCTTCTTCTTTGGTTATCCAACCTGTAGGGGGTAATATTCTTGGAGGTGACCCATACTTCTCAGAGGGAGGCACTCTCTTCTTTCTTTTAGGTGTCCCGTATAATACATAGTAGTCAAAAGAACGACCAAATGGTTCGCCCAACAAATCCACTTCGCGAACACCTTCCTGTTGCAGTTGCTTCAATAAAGTGTTGCGCGACACTTCTATTCTTTTTCTCTCTGCTTCCAAGTCAATTACTTCTTCAATGTCCGTCATGCCGTCATCCTCTTCTTCATCGTATACCTCTTGAGATGTTTGGCCTTCCTCAAATTCCAGCACACATGCTTCTTCTTCATTATCCTCCATTTCCTCTTTAACATCTTCCTTACTTTTGAATTCATTAGCTAGTAAATAATTATTAGCCATAACAGGAGATAACGTACAAAACTGAATAGTGATGGGTTGATCTAGATCTTCTTCATCTTTCTTGCCACGCTTAAATTTTGATCTCCCGAAAGAAGTTTCTGGTAACTCTTCCATCAATTCACCTACACCAGCCTCCTCATTATCTTTAAGAACATTTTTGTTAGCCACCTCAAGCAATTTAGGTGCCTTAGGACATGACGATCCCTGCTGTTGACTCATCATTCATCCATAGTTCCGTTGGAAACATCTTTGTTGGGTTCTGGTCATTTCGTTGAAGGGTACAACCCTTCCTGCATTATATTGGAACGAATGACATACATTTGGTTGGCGAGGTTGCGACCTAAACGTTCTCCCATTGTTTATCAGTCTGAATTGCCCCTCAAAAGGCGATCCCCATAGAATGACATATTCCGTCCTCCAGTGGGCTGGAAATTTGGGACTACATCAGGACGATGGTGATATCACCATGTTCCTGGTCTTTCCATATTCGTATTCACTTCCCCCTTGCATCTCAGTTTTATAAAACTAAGCGTGAAACAATTGTTCTAACTGTTACCACATTTGGACTGAATTTGCTGGCAAGTTAATGAACCATGAGAAAGTTACTCCTGTTAACGAACTAGAGAATATTCTTATTTTGTGATAATCAGTTACTTCACCACATTGCAGTGTGAATCGACCAATATGTTCTAGAGTAGAAATTTCTTCCAGACCAGTGAATAATAAAAACTCTCGTACTTTGTACCCTCTACACCGCGGATATGCTTGATCTACCCAATCAGGATATGGCTTTGTTTAAGTAGACCAAATAAAAGGACGCATCCCAAAAGCCATTTGATCTTGCATTGTCTCCATAATTTGACTCATCAACATAACGTTGGGATCATACGGGACTCATATAGGTTGATTTATTGGTGGGATTGCTTGAGGCCTAACGTTTGGTCCTTAGTTTGTGGCAAAAAGGCCATTATTTAGACCATTGTTAACGTTAGCCTGAGTATTTTCACCATCATTAACACGTGGGGTGTTCTGTTCATTGATTTGGACATTGTCTCTTGCACTCAGGTTACCCTCAGGTTTGATATTCCGTTACTACTATTCAAATTTATCATTCCACCACCCCCCAGTTTGAAGTAGATAGTCCAAAAGGTGGCTCTATTCCTTAATTTGGACTCAGGACTAGGGAATTATATCTCGCAATCGTCCTGGCTTGGAAGTGATTTCCTATACTTGGCATAACTGGCTGACAAATTTGGCCTACTAACTTATTCATGATTTCATTTAAAGTATTTAGTTGTTTGGCCATGTTGTCATAATGTACATTTCCATTTTGAGCAAATCTTTCCATGTTATGAACATTCTGTAAATTTACCTATTCAACAACATCATGTGTGAGTTCCCCAAGCAATGCACGCATAGTTCGAAGACTCAATTCTGTCACGGCTCGTAACAACATTGACTCTGTCCCTCTGTTTGTGAAGCACTTTGCTGCTCTTCATATTGTTCGATCATAGATTGAACTATTCGTTGACTTTCTGGCTCCTTATCAGAGTTCTTATGAGGTATATTGATTCACTTTTCGTATCTTCAAACATCAAGGGTCCCACCGGGCGTGCCAAATTGTTTCGCGTAGAAATCGCTAACAATTAAAAGAAAGTTCAGACGATTGTATAAGGAACGACAACCTCTCGAGATAAAGTCCCAACGATGGGTATTTTATTTATGAAAATTACAATTTGGATGAAACGAAATGCCTCCAAGGGGCATAAGCACACTGAGTTTGCAAAGTAATTGAAAGTTTAACAAGAAAAGAAATGAAATTACATAATTCTCTGTTTGAGAGTCGGTTTTGATCTCCCTTTCTTCTAAATTCTTCTTTCTCTTTTATACTTCCTTTGACAATTTTCTTTGTAGAACCATTCAAGAATTGCATCTCATTCTGTAACTACCCACTTTTTCCATCATGGATGACTTGTCAAGAAACTACTGTTTTCAACCGCTGTCATTACTCTCACACTTAACTCCTTGCAACTGAGATTCTAGGATCATGGAATATGATAAGGTTATCCATTAATTGCTTCAATAACCTTTGCTCCAAATAGTAAGCAAAACACTATATTCGCCCAGATCTTGGGCGTTGCACAGGCTTTGAGTGATAATAGACTCGCCCAGATCTTGGGCTTTTCGTAGGCTTGAGAGAGGATGGGCCTCCATTACATAACTCCATCTTGGTTTAGGCCCATCCTTCGAGTTTCCTAACTGGGTTTCATTCTTTGGACCATTTAATTGGGCCTCATTTTTTTGTATGTCAACAGATCTCCTTAAATCCATTTTTTCTTACGGTTAACTTCGTGAGGCTTGAGGAGAAATAATGGTATTTTGGTAGCTTAGTCACGCATCCAATCAAATCCAAATTTCGGATATGATCACACCCAACGAGTTGTCTCAGAAAATTTTTCTCTTCTTCTAAACGAAATCTGTAGTAAATTCGAAAAGAGTACCTGAGAAGATTTGAGTTGCTTTTCAAGTAGTTCATGAGTGCCTACAGGTCCTCCCAGCCTAGTGAGATAATTGTAGACAATTTTCGAAGCTTTGTTAATTGGAAGAGATCCCTGAAATCTGAAACTCTCGTATCGAAGGTTTTCAACATTTCCAATCTGCTTAAGCCACTTGCAGATGTGTATTTTTATAAAATAAAGGAAGGTACAGATGCCTCAAATGTTCTAGCTTCCATAGAACATCAGGTATAGTCAACTTATTGATAGACTTCACCTTTAAATCGAGCGTCTGTAAGAATTTCAAGTTAAAAACGATGGCACTTATATGAAGTCTAAATTTCAAAAGCTCAGGTATCTCAAGTGGACTAAAGTCCCCAATAGCTTTAGACATTTTGAAACAAAAACAGTTGTCAAGCTGTAGAACTCTGAGCAATGTGAAATCCTAGCAGAGTAATTTCAACGTGTCTTGAATTACTAAATGATACGTGCACCTGTTAAAGAATAATGTTGATCTTACACGACTGGTCTTTTCGTTTTTAGGAGGAAAAATTTCTCAACATATAAATCAGCAAAAACAAACAGCCTGCATGTGAACCTAGAACCGACTGGTTCATGTGACCATGTCCATTCCGAGAAGGGATTATCTTGAGAAAATTCTCCTCTATTCCCTTTAACAAGCATATATCTCTCATAAGATCATGGAGTTGGCAAGATTTGATTTTTCCAGATTGCTCTTCCACTTGTACCTGAACCATGCCCATCTGTGCTAGTTTGCATAGATATCATTCTGCTATATCCATTATCGATTCTGCTTCCACAATCTGCTTAGAATCCATTGGTAGAAAACCTTCAGCTGCCCACACTTGATATAAGTTCCAGGCTCTAATATTAGAATCCTCAGGGAAATTCCCTACAAGAAATAGGGCTTTAACTGATAAGGTAAGGCACGGTAACTTAAAGCTAAAACCTCGTACACTTTGCCATATTCTCCAAGACTCTGTCCCCTCCTCAAATATGAATTGAAATTTTCGTGCACCATTTTCCACTCTTGTAGTGTAGGTTTTGTCACGAAAAGTCCCCCAAGTATAGTGATGGCTCATGGCAATCCTCCACATTGCACAACCAACTCCCTCCCTAGCATCTATCTCCATACTTGTGATGATTTTGAAATCTGCATAAGAATTGAACATCTTTGAGTAATTTGATATGAAGAAGTCCAATCCCTTTATTCTGGACATGTAGTAAATCTGTCAAGAAAAGGCTTTGTTTATAATTTTTAGTTCATGAAGTTTTAATCTGAAACCACAAAAGGTTAGGTGTGAGAGTGTGACATATTTGCTTCTATAGCTCTTAGATTATCATCAAGAATTGACATAAGACAACTTCTTAACAAAATCAAATAGAAGGTCAACCGAAACATGAACGTGGAAACTGTTGCCAATTTGGGACAATTAAGATTCATATGTTACATAAATGTGTATGCATGCTTAACTGTGTCAACTTGGGACAAATCTAAGTTCAATATCTTTTATAAATGTGCATTTGTAGAATTGTTACTTGGACGATTATTTCCATAGAACACTTTCCTCCTCATTCAAACATCTGGGCTTATGAAGGAAACCGTTCGGATCCATGTGTAGAGCAATCTTTTGATTGCGTGTTGTGAGCAAAATTTTTCTCGTTGTATTTCCTGGAAGGAAGGAAGCACCTAGAAAATCCCAGAAATCCTTCAACCATATATCATCGAGCACTACCAGGCACTTTTTCCTCTGTTGAATCTCCTACAGTTCCTTGACCAGTTCTTCATCTCTCATACTCTTAAAAATCTCCCTCTTTTCTGGTACAAGTTTATTAAAGATCCCTAGCAGAACATCTTGTGATTGCCATGCTGAGATATACAGGCCCAAACAAAAGCTTGAAACTGAGGTCTCGTGCCACCATGATGATAGACCTTCCTAGCAAGCGTCGTCTTTCCCAAGCCACCAATTCCACAAATGGAAACAACTTGATAGCATTTGTTATTTCCTTCTGTAACCAACTATGAAACTAGGAGCTCCACATCTTCATCCAGACATATGAAATCCCCTTCAACGAGGTGGGAAGTGGTTCGTCTAAACCGTTGACGTTTTTGGGATGTAGAACTTGCGTTTTCTCCTCCTCGGCTAATGGCTTTTATGCTATAAGTTTGTAGACTTCTTGTTAGAGCGGAGATCTTAGCCTTAATTACCCGTATTTCCGATCCAACTTGATAGAGGGTTATGCCTTCATTCAGCATGCCAGTTTATCTTAGAAGAACTCTTTTTTCTTTCTTCAACATAACTTTGATGGCAAATATTTCAAGAACGTCTTCCACATCATATGCTAGTTCCCTTATTTCTGACACCCAATTCTGGATAGTCTCATCCTCGTCTTATCTTGCATTAGCATCTTTTAAGAGGCATTGTATTCGCTGTTAGATATTTTTCATCTTTTGCGTGTTCATGTTTTGTTTTGCGAATGTTTTGCCGCCCCGACTAGTATTTGCCGCTACGCAACGGGGATCGACCTGAATTT